CTCATTTACTCTTTGAAATTATCATTTTTATCATAGTCAGTTTCATTTAAATACACAGCCAAAATATAAACATCCAGATTTGAAATAAAACCACATTTTGCCCTTCAATCTTTTGCAATTACGTTAATAAATTATTGATTGATTTATAATTACTTATTTAATTGTACTGGGTTATGTATTTATTCTATAATCATTACAGATTAGGAAACAATATAAATCAGTAAATACTAATTATAGTTAGCTTAAAGTGCTTCCACTACCTGTTATCTATGTATTAAGTATTCATACACACTAATTTATATATTAAATATTCATAAGTGTTGATGGTTTGGTGTTAACCTACTGAAATGCTGTTGATTGATACCATAAAGTCTACAAGTCAGCAATCTACTGATTATTGATATCAAAGTGAGAATCATCAATCAAAATATAGTTAGCTTACATATAATAAAAAATATTATCATGAAAAATAAATTATTAAAACTGGTATTATATATTAATAGTAACAACAACAATAATAATTATAATAATAATAATAACAAAAATTATATAATAACAACAATAATAATTTAAAATAATTTTAGTAAGGGTTTTTCAGTTTACATTATTGTGAACACAATGTAAAATAAATACTGTTCATTATGATCATAACCAAATGTTACAAGTAGATATTATGATGGTGGTGATGGTGAAATAATAATAATAATAATAATAATAATAATAATAATAATAATAATTAATAACAATCTACTTAACAACCACGATGTCATAATTAGTCTACTTCATATGATGATGGTAATGATGACAAGGTTGACGATAATAATAATAATCATTATCAACAAAATACTTAATAATCATGATGTCATAATTAGTCTACTTCATATGATGATGATAGTGATGACGATAATAATAATAATTATCAACAAAATACTTAATAATCATGATGTCATAATTAGTCTACTTCATATGATGATGACAGTGATGATGATATCAATAGTAATTATTATCAACAAAATACTTAATAATCATGATGTCATAATTAGTCTACTTCATATGATGATCACAATGACAAAGATTACTATATTAATAATCATTTATCAACAAAATACTTAATAATCATGATGTCATAATTGTTTTCTTGAGGAGTAAGTTGAAAATGATGTCATGATGATCATAACAATCATTACTAAAAGTTTACTTAATAATTAGTCTACCTAATATGAGGATGATGATGTCCATAGTTATCACTAACATTACACCTAATCATTGGGTCTACTTGGTGTGAGGATGACTATAGATAAGTTCACACACGATAGCTAACGGTTAGCAGGACCCAGATCACAAAATGCGCGCTTACCTGTGCGTTCATACAAGAAAATCCCCGATCCAGATGCCAAGATGATCAAATCACTGGCCAATATGAAATTGGAAATTGATAACACGTATGAGTGATTGGATAATGACTGAAACACGCTCAACTTGCTAACCGATAGCGCTTGCTAAACGTTAGCATATCCGGATCCTGGTAACGGTTAGCGCTAACCGATCAGGCGTTCTCACATGGGCACTAGCGGCTAGTGCTAACGGTTAGCTCCCGATCCAGATACTAGGGCTCTCGTGTGAACCTGACCTATGATGTCATCATCACTATTAGTATGGTGGTGATGTTGTCATGATAATTTTAATAATCATCTTAATGAGTCCATCTATGATGATGACCATCATAATACTACTTGAATATGTTATATTGAACAGCTAAACAGTACATTCAAAGGTGTCAAAATGCAAGAAAGGACAATAGTTAGGAAGGCACAAATATAGGACAAGGGTAAAGGGCAGAAGAGGAAACAGTTCGGGAACAAATATGGGACACAGAGGTACAATGGAGCAGTGGAGCAGAACTGATGCTCGGTATCAGAGACAAATAAATACACATAGTTTCTGGATCAAATAATCTGCACAAAGCTCACTTTCTTGCAGTTACTTTGGGATAAATGGGATAAATTTATACGGCATTTATATTCATTATGCTCATTATAATATTCATGATTATCAAATATGCACGACAATTTAGCTATCGTTCACTGCAAATTATAGGGTGATTTATGGCGCATTCATTTAGCACATGCAGATTCAATACTCAGTACAAATATAATTTATTGCTGGTTTTTTGGAGGGGAACGTGCTGGCTTCTAGTCCACTACAAACTTATACATTATAAATTAACATATTCATGCAGTTAATAAATATGCATAGTTATCAACTTTAACACAACCTGGAGTTCTAATGCTGGCTCTTGAGAAAATTCGTCGATGGTAAGTGTTACGGCGCCGTTTGTTGGCTATAGTGAAGAGAGAAAGATGAACAAGAAATACACGTGCGCTTCAGACAATTGATAAAGACATAAAAAGAGCAAATGAAGCATTGTTATCCAAAGAAGGAAAAAATAATAAAAATCACACTGTTACAGACACTATCTCACATCTGACCTAGACAAGAAACTACATTCAAAAGAAGCATATTAAAACAGTTAGAAAGTTAAAACACAAGTTACATATTAGCAGACAAAAATAAATATATAAAAATATTTGTTATAAAATTTTTAATACAATTATAATATGATGCAATATATAAAAAATAATTATATAATTATTTGATAGGAACTATGTGTAATATTCATTGAGGTTAAAATATGAAGTTTCTATCTTAAATAAATATATTTGACCTGCGTTCATACCACTGGATAGATCCTTACCCAAAATTTATAAAAAGAAGTGTATAACCTAGTTTTTGAATGTTTTGCAGCGATATCGCTATGGAGATAGACAACGAAAAAATGGTTGATTCTGTGGCATAGTTAGCAGCCTTTCAAGACAAAAGGGATTGGTGGTGCAATTTGCGTAATTGTCCAATTATTGAATCAGTTTGGCAGTAAGTGAGCATCAATGTACCTCAGCGTCGCATTGCTGTGGCTGATGCTCTATCATACGTTCATATTCATATATTTATATAGCGCCTTTCTTTGCAGATACAAATTGGATCCACATGCTTAAGTGTTGCTGCTGTATTCAGCGCAGGAGCAAGCAACCCAACCAGGTACCCATTTATACTCCTGGGTGGAGATAAGAAATGCAAATAAAGTGTCTTGCTCAAGGACACAAGCGATATCTCATTAAAATGTAAGTAAATCTAAGGAAATTATACAATAAATTCTTGAATGGGGTATCAATGCTTTTACAACTCAATTTTTTAAAAAAATCTATGACTTCTGTTTCTAATACAAACAAACCTTATGAATATTTATATTATAAAGTACATCTCTTTGTGAAGCTATTTGGTATGACAGGCACAATTGTTTATCTAACTGAATATGTAAACAAATTAGATGTCTAAAACATCCATTTTTGTAACCTATATCAAGGATGAAGAATCTCAAAGCCTAAAAAAAAGAATATATATCTGTCAATCTATAATAGGATGAATTATTAATATCATAATTACAGTTAATAATGTAATTATACAGTAAATTTGTGCAAAAATAGACTGAATAGTCAAAATAGTCTGCATAGGATATGATGTAACAAATATACACTGCAAGTTAAAAGCCTTGAGGTGAAATGATCACCCAATATATGTACCACAGCAACTGTCAAACTAAGTATAAAATCTAGAATGATGTTAAATAAGAAAATTGTTGACAAATACCAAATTGAACATTCAACTAAATCACTTATTAGCCTAATCTATCCAAGTTATCCAAACACCTCAGCTGTGTATACAGATGAAATACTAATTCACTAGCTGGCATGCTGAACATGTTAGTAAATTTAAAACCATACTATTTTTTTTAAATACATAAACTATACCCATCAAAATAGAAGAATAATCAAGTCACTGAATAGTCTATATTATCTGAAGATATAGATTTACTGAGTAATAAAAAACCCTGATTGTTAAACCCGAAGGGTTATTGAATGATACCTCCGCCATGCTTACCATTGTCACAGCTGCATTGCTTGATTTGAGCAACTTCTCGGATGTCCCCATGGCAAGATCGACAGTAAAAAAATGCTCTGAAAAATAACATTATTACAATTAATGCTGTCTGTTAATTGTCATGGCGATGATGAAAATGATGGTGACCGAAATGGAACCATTGGATGTTTTTATCTATTTACTCTTTTTACAGTTTCCGTACTCATGTTCCATTTCTTAGGGTGACCCAGTGACACAAAACGTTGAAGGATGTTGATGATAATTATGATGATGATGTTTATGTTGTTGAAAAAGATGATTATAAGAAAGAATAGTAGGATGAACCGAAACAATTAAAAAAATAATGAATTTAGCTGACCTTTTAACCTCTAGTGCTGAGTCAGCAATGAAGAACCCCAGGGTTTGTTCTTGAATCTTCACGTGGGGTCCTGGATTGATGGCGATTCTGTGAATAGGAATCATACTGATAAAGACCAATAAATGTGATAAAGTTGGGTTACTTATATTTGCGCCCATAATCCTCTAATGCATAGCATTGGTCTCCATCCCTATGGTTTGGTATCATGCTCATGTTGCCAAATGCATAGACTTGGTCTCTAGCCCTACAGTTTGCTATGATGCATCTGCCAGATGATGATCAACATGTATTGTTATATTTTCAATACATGTTGATGATCAACATGTATTGAAAATATAACAACTCAATTATATAAACAGATCTATCATTCAATTTCATTGTAATGAAATAATATTATTAAAGAATTAAGACAATAGATTTGAAGACTGTAAGCAACTTGGGTGCTAGCCATGCAACTTACGTGCTGGTTTCTGAGTCCACATTGGTTTCCACTGCTACCAGTAGTAGTCTTAATTTATCGAAACATAATCTACAAATAACAAAAACAACAAAATTATTACAACACTATAACAATATCAAATGAGTATAGTTACTGCAAAAAAAAATTACTGAATGAACTGAATAAACCATAACCTCTCAGAATTTTCAGTGTACAAATAATTAGCGGATCTGTTGCCTTTTACTACACTACCATAATAAATATTCTTTCATAACAAAATTATAGTTCTTCAGATATAAAAATGATGGTCTTACAGTGTCAGTAATCGTGCAACAACAGAAAAAGATTTTTTCCTTTAAGTACATTTTTCAGATATTATAAAGAGAAACCTGAACTTGAGGGCTTTACTAAATAAAGTAGTTTATGAGACTTCTACTAGATTCAAATGCCCCTCAACATGGCTTTTAATGTCATCTGAATTGTTTACATATTCACTCTGAAAAAATAGCAAATGAAAAGTTATTTAAATTATTGACTTACTTCTATATTCCTACAAACTACAGTTTTATTATTGGGCATGCAAAAAAACTAATACATGAATAATTCAATTCTACAATTAACACTGATGATTTTACAACAAATTTTACTAAAATGAATATAAATTACTAATAATACCATATAAGGACATTAAGATGAAAAAGTGAAAGAAACATGTCATCACATGACATTAAGTACAGCAGTATACAGTATGCTCATCACTGTTAACCAACACCATAAAAAGTAAATTAACCTATTTAGTAGAATAATCAGGAAGTCAGCTCTCTTTTTGATACATAAATTGGTCACCAGTGTGTATGGTCGGCCTATCAACAACTGCTATGTATTATACATTCAAAATTACATTTATTGCAAAAAAGTACATACAGACAGAGTGACACTGGAATGCGACCTATTTGCCAATTCATTATACAAATAGTAAGTGATCAGTATTGATAGGTTATTATATAACTTACAGATTAATTACTTTTACATAGTAATCTATGATCCAAGTATAAAAAAATAATAACCTAGTCGAATACTGATCAATAATCTATTGATCAATTTGGTTTTATAATCTTAACTATTATGTACTGTAGACTAAAAACACAGCATTTTGACAAATACCGATAGCAATTAAACAGGCTTCAGCTTAGAATGACGCCAGATCGATCATTACTAAAAAATACACTAAAACCATTAGCACTTAAGAAACACATAAAAGCACTTGAACACTAAAGAAAGTGTTCAAGGCACTTGAGGACTTGATGTTTGTAGACGTTCTATGTAATGACTGCAGTGTTTTATATCAATAAAAATATTTATTCTTTGGAACAAAAGAGAGCTTACGTCACTAGCCGATATATGTTTTTTCCAACATAAAGTATTTCTCAAAAGACAGTATGTTACGTGTATATTTTTTCTCATTCAAATCTTTAATTTAAAGTAAAAAAATAACTTACTTAAATATACAAATTAGGCAATTCAAACATAATAATAATATTAATAATAATAATAATAATAATCATAATAATAATTGAGAATTTATATAGCGCAAATTATAAAACAATGTTAAAATCAAATGCGCTTTAGACTGAAAGTTATAATGTTTCCTTAAAATAATAATGTTTTGATGTTGGCTTTGAAAGTGGATATTCTAGAAGATTGCTTAGATGTAATGGTAGAGTTCCAGAGAGTAGTACCTGCAAATGTGAAAGATCTGTTGCCGATAGTATTGAAGTTGGTTTGGGGTATAGATAGAAGGCATTGGTGAGAGAGATGTATGCATGAAATTCAATATTTGAATATCTGTAATTCAATATTGCAAATTAAAATATTTGTATCTTTTCTGTATTTTCTGCTGAATTTAATTATTATTATTATAGCATGCTTTTAGTGACTGCTACATAAACTACTTTGAATTTTAAACATCTGTGTGAATGTCAAGCTGGACACTCATTAAACCACAAGTGTAGCACTTGCATATTTGTTCCATACTTCTGCTGAATAATTTGAAATAATCCAGCTGAGCAGTATATAGCATCATATGTAAAACAAATCAAATTGTTTTTATACAAATTTCAAATAATATTACAAGATTTCTTGATTGTACACTTTATTCTCCAGTGTACTTTACTTGGACGTTGGAGACAAACATTATAGGGACCACATTATAGGGACCACATGAATTTTTCTATGAATATACTAATTACTAAATATTCAGTTCATATATGACTATATGTTTTCAATGTTTAATAAATGTTTTGAAATTAATTATAATATAAGTTTTATTACCTAGCATTCCTTCTATTATTCCATAACTTCTGCCACTCATAAATGCAACATACACTAAATAACTATTTATGTCATATTAAATCACAATTAACACTGAACACCGTGTTTAATGAATTTTTTTGTTTTTATTGGTTACGACAGGTATGCAACAAGTAAAAAAAGTATATAAGGAAGGGTCATTGAAAATGTCATGTTTAACAAGTGTTAACAGTAAAATATTGTTTCAAAAATGCATTATATATAATTGGACAGTCTAGCAGTAATTTTTACTATATTTGAAAGAGTAGAAATATTTAATGAGCAGAAAATCAGAAACTAATTATGAGTGCTTCAAGTTTAGGAGCATATTAGGTCAAAAATGGAGGTCAAGGTAAGAGAAAGCAATTAACATGCTAATTGGATAATCTCAAAATGTCTCAGTCTCTTTTCGGAATTACTGTCTTTTTGTTTTATTTAAGACTAATTAGTGGATCCTCTGGTTTTTGGATAAGAGGTGATTGCAAAGGTTATTACATTTTCTGTTTTAATGCACATGCATTTTAACAATGATATACTACCAATTGTAGTAAGAAATTAATAGTAAAGATATTGGTGATGATGATGATTATTAAGATGAGGATGACAATGTAACTATGTCAATGATAATGGGGTTGGTTGATTGTTACAGCAATGACAGTGATAGGTGGTGGTAATAATGAATGATGGTAATGATGATAATGATTATAGTAATGATGATGACGTTTATGTTTATGATGATGGTGATGAAGATGATGATGATAGTAATACTGATAATGATGATGTTGATGCTAAAAATAATATTGATAATGATAAGAATGATGATAATGTTAATAATGATGATAATGATAATCAATATAATGATACATGCAGTGCATAGTATTATTTTATCTTCAAAATCCAAGCCAATTATAAATATGATTCACCACTTAATTTAGGAACAGAAAATCATTATCACATGTTAAATAAAAAAAATGTCACAAAAATATGCAATGAATGTTTGGGGAGTGTGGCATATATATTTTGCATTTATCAGCAATCATCAGCAGTAAAAACATGAGCAAAACAAATTATGGAATTGAAGAAATAACTTACCGTGTGACCTCTGGAAAGGTCATTCCCGTGAAAGATCGTGATAAGTATTCAGTGTACATTTCGTTGCCACAACCGTTTAAGTAGTCTGTTTGCCATAAGTCGTTGGATCCCTATACAGACGAAAGATGGTTTAGGGGGGAACAAAGTTTTAGAATCAGTTAGGGGCATTACTAGCAGTACAGATCTTGTGTATCTATTTCAATATATTACTATTAATTATTCTGTACATTTCAAATTTTCCTTAAGTTTGCAATTAAGTTATTTTAAATCTTTTGAATGACATTTTGAATGTCTGAGATTGACTGACATACTCAAATATTTTGCTTTTGTTTTGTACTATTCTTAATTTAGTGGTTCAATGTTTTACATTTGGTAGTAGTATTAATATTATAATCAGTAAATATCTTAATATCAATATTGCTGCAGTATTTCAATTTTTACTGTGTGCTTTAGTCAGATCAATTGTTAACTCTCAGCTTATAACTCCTATTTTATCATTATTTAGTTATCTTCAATCCAAAATTAAAGTAAATATTTTATTAAAAAGATGATAAAGATTGCTATAAATTTAATTGCAAAAATTGATTTAAAAAAATGCAAATTTTGACTATCGATGAGATTTAAACAGGAATATATATAATTGTATGTATATGATTTATCAATAAAAAATATGAGTTGATGTGATATTAAATGTTGAAAAATTTATTTTTAAAACATGAAATTTCAATATTGATTATAAAAATATTGTGATTTATCAACAGCGAAAATGATTGCAATGTATAAATTTGATTGACATGTTTCATTTCTGAAATTGTTGTGCAAAGCAATATATGGGTGGAATATATATAAATGAAAAATGTGGATATTTAAAAAATGTCTTCAACCATTATAAATATAAAGTAAATATTATCTTTACAAATCCCTTCACCACACGTTATTCTCACAAATGATTCCTCAAAAATAATTAAACATAATTAATTAAACACAGCTGGTTTCTAAAACAATTAAACAACTAAAATAATCAACAATTTTTCACAATGGAATATTAACGAACGGTTGAGAATGTGCGTCGGTTTACTGAAAACTATTTTTGATCGATGTATGACTGGTATAAAAACAATACTTTTATTTCATACATAATTGATGTTAAGTGCTGGAACGAACTCGGGGCTACAATGGGGGAAACACGGCCTTCTCTTTATGGCTGAAATAAAGGCAGTTAAACAGTTGTGCTACTCATGAAAGGAACGCTGAAACAGTGTCTGCATTTATTGCAACAAAGGAGTGAAAATGCCATTTCAAACCGGGCACAAGAAGGAATGCAGGGGAGCATGCACAATGTAACAATCGAGAAAGAATACAAACAAGAACAAATACTTTCTCAAAATTGTTCTTATTTGTTTCATATTTTATTAATATTTTTACAGGCACATTCTGGCTAACGATAAACGTGGGTTGCACTTTACATGTCTTTGACCATGCCACATTATTTCGGAAGAATCAATAATGAATACCTGATGATCACAAAGCTAATAATCTATCTTACTCAGTCAAACAAAATGATTGTTTGATTTATCATTAGCAAAAAATGAGCACCACATTTAAGTTCTAGGTTATTAGAATATTTTCATATGAACTGGCATAAAAATTATTAGTAAATAATCCAATTTTGACACTTGCAATATCATTTATAAATCTTAATTTTGTGTAAGAACCAATGCTTTTTAACAACTGTTATACTCATGATAATATGCCAATTTATAAGAACATACAGGAAATGATCTGCTTGTGATTAAAAAAAAAAAAAAAAAAAATTCTTTCCTGAATTAATTTTAAAAGGAAACAATTTGTGTATACAATAATGTTAGTGACCACTACCTTCCATATTCAAATGCTGGTTGATCATTTAGTAATTTGCATATTATTTGATAATGTACAAAATAATTAATCAAAAGCAGGTAAGCTTTTCATTTCCAACAAAGTAGTTAATATAAATTTTTAATTAAAAAAGTTTGCTATAATCATCAGGCATTCATAATATGTTAATTAACTTTCCGACTACTGCTGACGAATGGCTTCAAAACTGGTGTTAGTATACATTGATATATACATGTACTGGACCAGGGCAGGCGTCAAGACTTACAACTAATTGCATGTCTTTAAAATCCGAACCACAAGCATCCTCACTTTTAATAGGCTAAGAGAGTAAAATTGAACATTTATGGCAATGTTGTTGTAGTAGCAGTACTAGCGGTAGTAGTATTAAATGCAAATATAAATAAAAGCATACAAACTCTCATTATAAGAGTGTAACCATTCTAAATAATATGAGAATATTAAAACAAATTATTGTTTCCATAAAATGATGAAGCATATACCATGAGTAGTTGGCATTTACAATTTTAAAGCTTTAATTTTTTATATGCATCAGATTATTAAACTGCTGCATTGTTAAAAAGGTATTTAGAAAATTCATAAATAGGTTATCAACTAGTCTTAGCATATAGTTCAACAGTGTTAATCATTTTTTTTAAATGCAAAAAGTAACCTTCAGTTGTTATATGAAAGAAACCCATAGTATTCCCAGCAAATCCAGTGCAAACAAAAGTAACTACTAGTGCACAATAGTACTGTTTCTTTAAATCATTTTCAATTTAAATACATTCACATATGAAATATGTGACATCACTATTGCACTAGAAATGCTATCACAAATCTAACTACAGATTTTGAATAGTGTATTTATTTGCACAAAATGACAAAATTCTTGTGCATACAAAGTTCCATATCACTAACAGTTATTCTCATACTCTCTACTTCTTTCATTGTGACTAAAGCAAATCTTTCCAAATTTGCAAACATTGCAAATTGATTGAGATTGACAAAATAGAATATCTTAAGTTTCAATACATTTTATCAACATACACAAATAACCGATATTTACATACATATACATATACTGAAGAATAAACAGTATAAAAAGCAACCCACAAGCATCTAAATATTATAGGTTTCTGAACAAATTTTTAAAACTAATTGAATTGTTTCGATAGTGACAATTATCATCATCAAATTAAATTAGTTTTTTTAATATAATTTTATTAAATATTTGTTCCACATTTCAAATATAGAATAAATTTTAAAAAATTCAAAAACAACACTCCAAAGTATTACTAGTGAATGCTGAATTTAGATTGCAGAAAAATGATACACAATTAATGCAATTTCCAAAATGTTCATTCAGAGATGTTTAGTATTTTATTACTTGTATAGATCATTACCTCTATTTGGAATAGTTTTCTATCTAGAATCTGAGAGCAACAGATAGTAGAACTGTTGAATCAGACAGATACCAAATTTATCATTTATTGATCAGAAATTCAAATGAAATTTGTTAGAGCAAGCAAGATCATGAATATAAATGGGCCACTGGCATATCTGTTTGAAGAGAATTTCCAAATTCTTTTATAATTTATGAACAAAAGGAATTGTCTTCATCAAATATTCAATAGCCACATAATGTCACTAAATGGCATAAAGATATTTTATTTTTTTTATTATTTTTTTACCACAATAATGTTTAGATAATGTATATACCACATTTTTTCTTAGACCATTCCCCTTAATCCATGATATATTTCTGCAGAGTTTATTACTTTCCAGCTTCAAAGCTGATGGTTACTATTTTAATATACCAAACCTAACAAAACAATAACAAGTATATTAAAACACACAAAAATAACAATAAAACATAATAATGAAATAGCACCAATAACAATAGTTGTATACCAAACCTAACAAAATAATAATAAAGCATTAACTCACAAAAAAATAACAATAAAATACAATAATTAAATAGCAACATAATAAAAAAAAAGTATAAAAAAAATACAGTAATATCTACCTAAGCTAGCAAGCCACAACTGATCGGCATTAGTAAACTTTTACTGTCATTGAAATAGCAAATGTAACAAAGCATCAAATTTGAAAGATAAATTACAGCTATTGCAGCTTAGTATTAAGATTGATAGTGAAAAAAATAAAACTTCCACCAGCATTTTCTTAATAGACCGAATTAGTCACCAAAGATTACGTCCTCGCGATTTTGCCGAGTGGTTATGAATTTGTAAACACTGGATAAAGAGCTATGCTAATGCATTGAGCAGAGTCGAAAGTGGTGTATATTAAATCATCTAAACAATGAAGTTAATAGCATAAAAGATACTTTTTATAACAATGTACACATTTTGAATGATTCATAGATTCATGAGACAGGGTTGATTTGATTTAAATTTCCATTCAGACTAAAATATGAAGAGGTTTGAGAGGCCTTGCAGGGTATGCAGGTCAATCGCTTGCGGGACTCACCACATCCAGCGTTGACTAAGGCGATCGCTGTTGATTTAGAGGTACACATTCAGCTTAAATACAGTCATCAAGTCATTTTTTTGGAAGGGGGGAGGGGCGAGTTTCCGGGGGGGGGGAGACGATGCCCCGATGAGGGGTCAGATTTCCCAGACAAAACCAAAGTGGGCATGGTCGAGCTTCGAATAAGCGGTTTCGAAAGTGGTCCTGGGGGCTAAGCCCCCGAAAACTTTGACAATTTAGGGGTTTCAAAGGCTTATTTAATTGATTTTAGAGTCTACTAATATGTAGAAAATACATATAACTTTTTTTTTCTCCCCGACAAATTGTGCTTTTTCTCCCCAAGGGGGGCCCAGCTAACCCTAACCCTAACCCACTTTACCAAAAATGTTCACATAAATAAGTTTGAGAACTGTCAAAATTTACTCGAGCAGAGGCTTATTATTGTGTAAAAAAACTACCACCTAGCGGTTGGTTTGATGTTATACCCACTGTAACAGCTTTGGTTTGGTGACTAATTCAGTCTATTGTTCATAAATATTAGAATTAACAATCATCAAACCTCTGTGTTTTCAGCATCACCATCATTAGACTGTTATTTAAAAAAAAGGTTTGGCAACAAAGGAAAGAAAACACATATGGGTTAAAGGGGAACAAAATAAAGGTACAAAACAAAAGGAGATGAATTAATATTATTTTATGGGAATGAGATGTGGTTTGTAGCTCATAAACATGCTTTTATACCTCTAGGCTTAACATTCCAGTATTCATGCTTTCACTTACAACTCCTCAACTCTACTCATTTACCTCTTGATGAGATTTAGGTTATAGAGAATCCATCTTATAAATTGAAAGTCAATCAAGGTTGGATGACAATGGTCAACTTAATCAGTGTTAAGATTATTCAGGGTGAACATGTTAGGAGTGTAAAAATGTGAGATAATTAACCTGGAATACAAATACTATGAAAAGAGCAGAAATGAGATATAATTTGAAAATTGCCATACATATAAACATTAAAAAATACAAATTGCAAGTACAGATGGAACATGTACACCATAAGAACAAAAAAACATTGAACAGAAGCAGTTGATACAAATTAAATTCTAAATATTTCTCAACTATGTTGTTTATTGAATGACAACATTTTGAGGCACGATTAACAACCACAACGGGCATGGTTGTCTAGGCCTATTTGAATTAGTACAAAAAATTAACATAAATATTTTTATATAATTAATTAAAATATATCTGCATTTGAGTTATATAACATAAAATATAAGTTTATTGAATAATTAACATTTTAATGCTGATTTCATCACCAATGACACTTCATGCTTTAAAACTGAAGTATGGTTTCATGCTACAAATATTATATAACCAAGCTAACTTTATGTTAAAATCAAATGTGAACTGAGCGTGTGCAATCACAGTTTGGGTCACATGGTACAAGCAATTTGTGTACCTAGAGAGAGAGTATAAAACGTATTACTTAAAGGTAGCAGCAAATCTGTACCATTTTAGCTCCCTTAGGAAATGTAGAAATAATAAGCCTAGAGTTGGTCTGTGTAAGGCTAATTACAAATTTTCATGGCATCAGTTATCTTCAAACATAGCATTTGTAAAAGAGTAAAAGGAAAAAGCCAAGCCATACACATTGCTTTGCCAGGCAAGGTGGTGCAGGGAGCAGCTTTTCATTATCACATTCATATCATAATCATCATTATCACCACCATCATCAAAATACACATTAATTATACTATGCTAATATTATAAAAATTATCATTATTATCATTACCTACATTAATACTACTATCAACAGCAAGTAAAACATTAGTATCATTTGCCCTCTTGTTGATTTTCACTACTGTATATCTAAAATTTCTGTTGTGTCTTTTGTTTGTAAATCATCAATATCATCATATACTTACATAATTACTTTTTAAGTTTGCAGTGTTTATGTTAGTCTATAAATATAGAGCAAAAGAAGGAATCTAGGTACCACAAACTTAAAGTGATTAAGAACTATTAACCTTTATACTACTAATATGTATATGTATCTATTTTAATTTGTTTAGAAAGTAAAGTGGATTGAGAAAGTGAATATCTTGAAAAGTACTTAAGCAAGGAGAATTCTGAAATATGGAGAGTGAAATGAAGGGGGTCAGAGGAAAATGAAAGATGGAGAGAGTACCCGGTAAAGTTGGTGGAAAGAAGAACTAGAAAGAAAATGTAAGTTGGGGAGAGTGAACTAGTTGAAACTGAGGAAAATGCATTAGAAAGAGGAGGAAAGGAATAAAACAACTAGCAAGAAAAGAAACACAAATGGAAAACATACATACTGGAAGAAAATGCAACAAAAAAGACAGTGAACCACTAGAAAGAGAATAATGAGTAACAACCAGGAAGGGAATACATATCAACAAGGAGAATACAAAGACAGGAGAAAATGTAAAAAGAAGTGGATAGAGCAAAGAATAAATGAAAAGAATACTTAAAACTTTAAAGAATATTAAGAATGCAAAGGAAAAATGTAGACAGGAAAAAATACAAGAAGTGAAAAAGAGAAGGTTAAAGCTAAGCATGCATACATGTGATACTGAGGTAAGCACACCTCAGCAGAATTATAATACGGTAGTTGCTGTCGCTTGCGTTTAGTTGGGTTTAACACCTAGTAACATTTTGACCTGTGTATAAACCTTTATTAAAACACATGTTTTATTAATGCTAACAGCCCCTGTCATCTTGATGAAAATAAATCATTACAAGGCATCTCATTTTCCCCCCTTTTACTACAGGCTTTTTCCTAGCACACACTAAACTATTCAATAT